AGAGTCTAAAATTGTACATTGTTGCAACGGAATAACGTGTATGTTCCATTTTACTAGGACTTTTAAAATTTTCGTTCGCAATCGTGAAAAAATTCTTTCGTCGAATCATTCTGACAATGCATTATCATTTAATAATATTGGAATGATTTATTTGAAAAAGTATAACTCGATGTTGAAAGGAAGAAAAAAAAAGTGGCGACGAGAGTGAGATTCGAACTCACGCGGGCAGAGCCCATTAGATTAGCAGTCTAACGCCTTAACCGCTCGGCCATCTCGTCGATGTTAGTATTGATTGATTATGGCTACACACTTTTTACATGCTATCATAGGATGAAAAAAAAATGCGCATTCTAATCGAATCTTCTCTAGAGTTCATCAAGGACGACCGGCCTAATTATCACTGCTATTCGATGTCATTTTATAAATATTTCAAATCTCTAACCAATGCTTTAAAAAAAATCATGAACAGATCAAATGCAATATAGAATAAGTTATACGCGATATGTCAATGCCATCATAAGTCAGAAGAACATCTATCTCGATCGAATTTCCTTTTTTTTTGTGTTTCTTTTTGTTCCGTCGTATCGGTGAGGAAGAAACTATCTAGTCAAATCTCCCATGATCGTCGTATGAAGAAAAATTATATTTATTTTCGAGCTTTCTAAAACGTCGATTTTTGAAAATACAAGTTTTGATAGAATAAAACGAGGAGGCAAATGACGAAGCGTAATTATCATGCAGTTACTCACACGTCAATATATCAACTCGGTATGGCACACTACAATTCAAGTAAGTATATGATTCACAATAGTCGATTAGTGTTATTGTCGATTTTTTGGCAATGTAGCAAACGAAACATCGTCTGCAGAAGAACATCTCTTATATGTTCTATGTAATATTGAGCTTGTGCTTATAATATTGTCAAGAGCAAGACAATGTGATCGGCTACATCACTGGGCGGTCACAGTCATTAGATTATTATTTGAAAATCTACGGTAAAAATAAAATGTGAATGAAACGTGAATATTTCGAGTCAAATTAGTATATCATGCATGCTCATTCACTCATTAATATTGTTTCCTCCTATTCTATCAAGTCGAAGTTTTAAGCATGTTCAATAAATCTTTCTATCAATCTCAAGTTTTTACTACTGTAATAACATCGATACATGAAGCTCCATTCATTCCTAATTTAAGCGTGAATGCCTAATCCGTCTTTTCTTTCATGACATAGTTTGAAGGACTTGACATACCACTATCTCAACTATCATTCTCAGTAAGTGTCCTAACCAAAATAGCCGTCAATCTCTCAATGTGCAATGGTAGTGGCTTCGTCTGAAGAGTGTAGGATGATAGATTGCGTTGAAGATCACTATATTCGTCTTTAGACTAACTTCATTTTTGATCACTAGTGATCAGTCAAGCAAGCATAAAGTTGGACTAGCTGAGTCAATCAATATCGCAGTTCTTTTTTCTATCATTTGAGAACTCGATCTTGACATACTTAAACTTATCTGCTTGATTTAATGGAGTTCCATTAATATTTAGACTGCATTGCTCTGCTAATCTCAAAATGATTATAAGTTCGTTTTTTTTTCTTATTGATCTGCATTCTAGTCAATGGAGATACAATCGCAAATCGATCTGAAGTATATTAGATCTCATGAGTAGAGATTGCCGATCGGGAAATGTGGTCTGCAACGAACAGAGACTCCACTTTCGTATCAAATATATCTACCCAGTCTGATTTTGAGCCACTCTGGGAAATCATACCCATAAAGATAATGAACAGAAGGGAAGTGTGAATGTGGGGTAGGAATCTAGGTCTAGTCTTCATCAACGCCAACATCCATTCACACCCATTTTTGCCTATTTTACTATGAACACGCGTCGGGCTAAAATATTATTCATGATATCTTGGTTTCAACTAGCTTTGAAGAACTTATTTTTTGAACCAAAGAGCAAGTTTTTATTGGCTAATGAATGGCATAGAGAATACATAAAATTCGAATATTTCTTTGCGGTCGACCTTATTGAATTTGGACGATTCACCATGGATCCTTTCTGAAGTTGTAATAAGCTTCTCTGTATATTGTCAGGTTTGGTAATTGAATGACTCCTGGAATTTTATACATCGATAAAGAGTTCAAAGGAGACATTTAAAATGAATCTAAAGTACGTGTAGTTATATGGACTTCCCTTTGTCATCTGTTCACTCTTTGAATATTTTTTTCGTGCTCATTGTTCAGCGTTACGATCGTGATATATTTTAAAAACATTTTTTTTCTGCAAAGATAGTGTAGCGTACTAGATCAAGATTCGTATCTGATCATACACACAATAAGCACTTCAGGATCGATTATTCGCATAGGGAAAGAACAGGAATAGATGACCGTTTATAATAGCTTGCAACTAAATTTTCAGTTTTTTCGATGAGAGTCATATTAAGATCAAATATTGCCGTGCCGTGCATGCTAAATATCGACTCACAGTTTTATTGAATCGCTAACTCCTTAGCAGTTTTGTAACTACTACATGATCAGAAGAATACAAGTAAGTATTTCAAAGATTTCATAATTCTCTCTTGTAGAAATGAGCATTACTGACGCTATGAATAAATTTGACTTTTCTGAACTATCAGTAATTTAAAATCAGCTTTTCAAGAAGAAAAATCATTTTGATTTAACCTATCCAAAAGTCTTACCTCGAAAGTAGTCTAGAATTCAATAACTTAACTATATTTGTGACCGATTAGCTATTGACCGGAATCTGTGTTCACATTTTTCAATTGTATACTCATGGCGGTACAGAGTCGAGCATTTCCTGCAGTATTAAATATTCCCTCGTGAATGCTTACGTCTATACTGTCATTTTCATCGAAAAATGCTCTACTAGATTTTAAAATTTTTGTCAGAATGATCATGAGAAATAATTATCATCTACATAAATAGCTGCAATGCGCTGAGATTTGCCGAAAGTTACAGCAAACAGTAGAATAGTCCAAGAAAAAAAACTAGTAGATATTTGAAAGGCATGAAGGCAGACATCAAATCGATATTACAGATAAGAGAAAGCCGTATCAATGGAAGATACAAAATATGCATATGTCATCAGAAATGAAAAAAATTAATATCTTTAATTTTCCTATCTTCTGTTGGCAATGTGAATTGAATTGGCACATGGCTAAGCTCATGATTCGTAGCAGATATTTATTTGCTTACATTTTTACAATTATTGTCTTGAATGCTATCGTTGATTTTCTTAGTAGATTCACTGTGGTAGTGTTTTACACCAAAACTGACGAATGCTATCGATTTCATAGAGAGGATACACTTTTTCAAAACATTTATCTCAGAAAATTTTTCACAGACACCGTATTGAGACATTATTGCTGTATCGAACATGTTACATCAATAACTTCATTTCTTTTTTTTTTGTCTCAAGTCTAGAATACTAAGTTGTGTGTGCCATCATTGTTGAAAATCTTTAAATTTTAGGCGTCGATGTCAATGGAGGCCATGGATTATCGCATTTATTACATAACTATTCCGTAATCGCAACAAAAGAGACAAAGATTCTCAAAGCCGATAGGTTAAGGAGGTCAATATGTACTTTTTTATCCACGGTTATATCCCCATGAGAGTCAATGGCTCAGCGTCCGACTCCTATCCCACAACGGAAAAACGATTTCTAAACTACCTTTCATCTCAAACGCCCCATCCTACTGATGTGGGCATGGTATAAAGTTATGGGTATTGGTATGAGTGTGTTGATGGTTAATTGAAAACAAGATTCTCGTTCACTCAAACACTCACACCAACACCACTCGCTTCTACCTCGCTCTGAAAGAATGTTTGTTGATCGACAAATACCTTTCATTGATCGATGGGAGAAAGAGAGTAAAGAAATTAAAGCTGCATTTTCATCTTTTCAAATAAGATCGTAGGTCCCGCGAACAATTACCTTTGTATGATAAGTTTTTTTTTACGTATACTGATTAAATAAAGTTCGAACAAAATGTTAGTGATATATCTCCTTGTCAGCGATTATCTTCTCGAATTTCATTTAGCGTTCTTTGCGATTACGAGCAGGTAACATGAGAGTATCGTCGATTATCTAGCTTCTTTGCTATTCATTCGGTATTTTTATATTTTCGCAAGTCAAGCAACGATGAAACGATTGTCTTCATTTCTGTTCCTTCTCTTACTTACCATATGGATATGCATGTTGACCCGAGGTGAGAAATATGCATTGATTCTATTCTCACTGTTTTCTGATCCCGTACGATTAAAAGTTGCATCAGTAAAGTATAGAACACGTTCCTATGAAACAATAAAAAGCATGGTTTCCGTTGGTTTTCCGACTTTTTTGGGCACCAATTGCAAGTTCGTTGACTCGCCATATTATCTTGTTGTCTGTTGTGAAATACAATTTCTATTATTTAACTGATTTTTAGAGTTTCGACTTTTTGCTACGATTTGTTTACTTTTGAATTTCGCAAAAGATTATTAATAATTAGTATTTTAGCATCTCATAGTGAGAAATTTCGATCAAACTTCTTCATTCAAGAAACTTTGACAGACAGATATCTTAATGTCACTAGGCGTGAAAGTCATTTTGATATGTTTGTCTCTCTAGTCGTCGTAGAAATGTTCGATTTATTTAAGATCGTGACCCTCAGTAGAGTCGCTCCGTTGTGTTTCACACTATAATCACCAAGAGATTATGCTAAAAGATTCTCAGTATAGATTAGACTACTAACTCATCATACTTTATAAATTACATTGATGCTTTTTTGTAGTGACCAATGCACAACAAAAGATTAAACAGCAACGAAACACATCTCTGCTGGCACCAGAAAGGGAAAACAACAATGATGGGGACAATATAGAAGATAACAATGATCGTTATTCCGTCTCAGATAGAAATGCAAAGGAACTGGATCGTCGAAATGAGTTATCAAGCAAGAATAATCATGGTAGTGTGAACGAAAGACAGCGAATGCTTAATCGTGAAAGTGATGAGGACGATGTCAATGATTCACTATCCAAAAGTGGAAATAAAGGATATTGGAGAAACCATAAAGACAACATAATACTAAAACATGGAAAGAAACATCGCTCTTGCTCCAAACGTGGAAAATATCACTCTAAAGGTCGAGGACATGGGAAGAAACATCACTCTAAATGTCGAGGACATGGGAAGAAACATCATGATCATAATCATGGCAATCATTATAATCGGGAACGCGACAATCACCGTCATCGAGATCGTTACCATCATCGTAATCGGGACCGTGATGATCATCGTAATCGGGATCGTCAACCAGACGAACGACGTGATCATGAAAATGATAATAAAGAAGAGTACGCCGCCCATCCAGATTCTTCAAGCCGAAACCGTGAAAAACCCTGGAAAATTCATGAAAGAAATATCGATGAGTGGTCTATGAATCGGCGAAAGGACCATAGGCGAACAATTGAATTTAAAGATGACTATCCCAGTTTTGAATCGAAGGGAAGCAATAGCGGAAATATTGAACCTTAAAATACTTTTTACCAAATATTTTCGAAAAACATCATCGATTAGTTTCTTTTTGTATGTTGATTTGCAAGAGTTTTCAAGCGAAAACTTATTGTAAATATAGAAAGATTGATTTGTTCTTTATCAGTGATCTTCAATGCTAGAAACAAAGCAATAAATAAAAGTAAACGATGCTTTTCTGCGTAGTATTTATTTTGAATCACTGAAGGAAAGCAAGCGAATAGTTGTCGTTTATTTCATTGGAGTTTTGCATGGAACTCATCTTTCTAATTTTTCGATAGTAGTTCATATGTGAGGGTATGGGCGTGAGCGCGGATACAGATAGAAAAGTTGAGGTAGGCATGGTTTTTGCGTTCAACCACTCCTGCACGCCACCCTTTAGGAAAAATGTGACAAAAATTGATTCATCGAAATAACGATACTTTGATTCTCCTTTAGCAATTAGGCTTAACAGAGAAAGAGCAAAACAACAAAAAAAAAACATAAAAAATTCCCTTTTTTTGCCGATTGAAAGTAAACTATCAATTCGAAGTGTTCGAACTCAAAATTATCTTTCGTTTTTATATAATTTTTCAAGATTTTATTTAAAGAAAACCTAAACTAGACAAAGAAAACATTTTCTGTTCATAAATTTTATATTTGTAAACCTATTGGAAAGATTCTTTTGATAAAGGAAATAGTTTCTAACAACATTCTCCTCTTATTTAAATAATAATCAAAAGATTTTATGAACGTTTTCTAGCTTGATACCGTTCTTTTGATAAATTTAGTTTGTATAAGTGTAACATATGCTATTCTTCGATAAACAGAAAACAAATAAAACTTTATAGAAAATATTGAAAACAGACTTTTGTTCTTTATTAATAAATAAATTATATATTTCGTATGATATATATTTTGTGTTTTCTCTCAACCAAATTTGTACTAAAATCGAATGAAAATCTTTAGAATCAGAGAAGATCCCGGAAAAAAAACATGTTTGAGACACTTGAGCTTATCAAAATGTGGAACATTTTTTCTAGACTTATGCGCTTCTATTTGTTTGCACCACAGAATTTACGAGTTTTACTGCGCTCAAAGGCAACAACGTGTATTAATCGTCAAAGAGCGATTAAGAAAATATCTTCGCGCACCTTTTCTTGAATATGTCTCAGAACGTTCAACAGTAACTCGATATTTTTTCGATTTGTTGAAACAATTGAACGCGTTTAAACGAGGTTTGGTCTTGAAATTCGTTGAAATGTACAATATTTTGTCCAATCAATTATGCTTATATGAACATACCAATTGTGAAAATTATTACTTATAGACCACACTGATTTTTGAGCAGAATAAGAAGTAAACTTTTAACATCCGTACAAAAAATAAGGCATTCTTAAAGACGTTCGACTACTTTTTTCCATTCCATGGGCGAAATTAGGCTACTTTTTATTATCTTTTTGCTTAATTCGTTTATATACTATTCATCTCAATTTAAGCTTAATTTTGATCTACTTGCGATGTAACACAGTGATCGTTAATATTATTGTATTGAATATTTGTACCACTTGTACGATCATGGAAATTTTCAAGAATGTTTTTCCTTTGTTTATGACTGTTTCTAAATTACCAAGTAGCTCGTCATTAGTTTACCGTGAAGAAATATTTGTCACACCGCCAACACGTTTATCACATTAATGATTGGTTCCTGATTTATTTGAGGATGGACTTTTCTTAGAGCTATTAAAACTGTTGTATTTTTTTGTTTCCGTACAAATAAGTATTGGAAATTGTAGAGAATATATAATAGAAAAGGGGTAAGCAAAAATAATGTACGATTGGACGTATTAACGTTCAACATCGTTAGGAAAAAACAAGTCTACTAGTGGTAGAACACAAAATTAACAATGTTTTTCAATCAACTCGCAAGTGAATAAACTGTGCTGACTAAATACAATCAATTGAAATATAAGGGGTGTGTTTGCCTTCTCTGTTAATGTTAAGATACCTTTATAGTGATGGTAATGATGAAGAAGCTTTCATGTTTCTAGGGTGTGGATGTACGTAGGTGTGAGGGATGGCTGTGGCTGTGCGAATGTTGGTGTGGGTCTCTATTTAGCATCACATCCATACCCAAAAGTGTCACCTTATCAGAGTGACAGAGGACACCAATGCGCAGTAAAATTATATAAAATGACCTGATTATCTTGGTAAACGAGTTTCAAAGAGAAATTTCAACACAGTGTCAAATTTTTGCCTTATTCGGTAGATGAAAAAAGTCGAACTACGAAGTTTTGATCTAAAATGTTGTCCATAGTTAGATTTTGTAGTCACTAGATAGCCCTGGCAATTTCAACCCCAAATATTATGCTTTTCTTTAGATGTAGAATGTTGAAAGCGCTCGTTTTTCTGATCGTTCTTTGCTGCAGATGATCCTTTTTGAATATCTAGCATGCGAGAAAAAGACATTATTTTATGCTGAAATTTTGGGAACTATCTAATAACTACGAAACTAGCTATAAGCCAAAATTCAAGTCAAAATTATGTTATTTGATTCTTTCATATAATTAAAACCTTACCAGAGATAGAAAACCCAGTGAAACGACCGCAACTACTCGGGGGGTATAGCGGTATTGGAACGAACTATTTTAGAGCGTTTCTACTCTCATCAAGTTCTACTTATGCAAGAACAAGATGAGTTTGAACGATGATTAATAGTTGAATACGTTCACCTGGGAGAAAAAAGTACATCGAAGAGAACAGACCTAAGTAGTATTATCAACATCAAATGCATCATTAGACTGCGTAGATAATACGTGTAGATTGGGATTCCTCAAATCCAACATAGTACCATTCAAATAATACGAGATAAAACAAAATGAGATCATTCATCACACGTCAAACGAACTGGCGTCCCAGAATAAGCAGCACTGAACCTTGGTTCCTTTTTCTCTGACCTCATAAGCGTAAAGAGTTTCTATTACGCACCAAAAGAAGGAGACTTTCACAATCTACAAAACTACAGATTTTGCATTACAATGTAGTTTTTTGTTGGTGTGAAATTTATAGCATTCATTTGTACTCAGTCATTCAATTAAGTTTTTCTATTTGATGCCCGAATTCAGTGATTCGTGCACGTTGCTCATCAAAGCAAATGCTAATAAAACATCATTCAACAGTAATGATTACATAAGTTGTTCCTTAAACTTTCACAAGCTCTCTGAAATTTCAAATGTTACTATTATCCATTTCAAAATAGAAGAACCATGAGTATTTTTCAAATAAATTTTGATAGGAACAAGATAGAGACCTGCAGTTTTCATCGCTGGAAAGAGGAGATGAAGACGCATCGAAACACATATAGCAGCCTTTATCGGCAATTTTGTTAAGTGTCTTCAATTGAGATCTTCCGAAATCGATGTACCATGCCCAGTCGCTACAGTGAATTTTCGATTTTCACGAGCGCATCAGAACTGCCAAACGAAGGTCTACAAAACTAGGCAAGGTCCAGATTTTTAATTTGTATCGTTCAAGAGTTGTATGGATATTACTGTGAGCTGCTAGCTGATTTTTCGAGACAATTTCCCGAAAATGTACTTTTGTGTTGCTAGCTTTTTTCATATGAAAACCTAAGTTTTGGACTATTCTGACTCGAATATGGATGCATTTTGTCCTTTCCGAACTTGACTTCGTGTGAAATGACTGGTAAACCCGCTTTTCAATGGTGAACTTGCAATAGGACTCCATTCATATGTCACTCTCGTCATGTCTCATGTTAAATATCATTTTCCAGGGTGGTTTTGTTGGCGGGTGATACATATAGATGGATCCTACGACTGAATGAATGTTTCGTACTTTTCCATTCGAACTTATCGATTGAAACTGGCTCTCATGAGTTATTCAGGTTAAAAGCAACTTATCATTTATATCAGTATGCCCACCGGCTATGAATTTTCTCAAAAGCTGAAACAATTAATATTCAAGGTGATCAAGTTTGTGGAGAGTGAAAAGAACGGTTTTGTAATCCCTCTGAACAATGTCAATAACCCACTGAAATCCATGCTTGGAACATCTTTGTCATCAATCAAAAAGCTGAAACAGGAGATGAGAGAGATGAATAAGCAGATGGTTGAAGAAAAGAAGAGAATGGATCACGTGAAGATGGAGAAGGAAACTCAAGAACTGCAGATGGCTCGTCAACTTCGATATCCACGATTCCAACTTTCCTGTTCGCTCAACGACGACATTATGCCGGTCCTTGAAGAAGCTTGGTTTTGCGTACAAACGAACATCTAAAGTCGTCGTGCTTCTTGATGCAGTCTGCTTTATGGTTGCACGTGCGCGGTATTTTGCCGGCATTGATAAATTACGCTCCGATGGTAGTAATATATTTTGGCATGATGAGACGTGATGCAACAAAAATGAGGAGAAACCTTTCGTTTGGACAGATAGCACGATAAATAGTGGCCGACTATGAAACAGCGAAGACAAAGGTAAATGATTCTTTAGAAATACTTTATTTTATCTTCTCATCTAAGCAAGAGGTTCGTCAATTATTAAAGAGAATCGATCATATTGACAGGATTGAATTGTTCACCTAGTTTGTGATTTCGTGTCGAAAAGACATAATCTTGAGCGACAAGGCCAAACATGTAGACGGCAGCAGGTAATTCGCCAGAGAAGACTTTCAGTGTGTAGGCTCTCGCCAAAATTAGAGATGAACTTTATATTGTGTACTGAGCTACGATCTGATTTCTTCGTTGCTTGTCAATGAATTCTGTTGTCAACGAGCCATAGTTGTGTTCAATCCACAACTCCTTTCTGCTTCATTCGATCAGAGACATTTGACTTAACGGTCGCATCATTTGATTGATTGTTACTTCGTACAGAAAATAAGTCATCTTATTCTTGAGTCGAGCCACGACTTGTTTCGACGGATGAGTGATAAGCTCGATCGAATGCAATTCATTAGAAACATATTCAATACGACACAAAAGAGTCTCACGAGTTTGTTCATATATCAA